ACTTTTTATGTATTTAAATTTATGACGACTATATATTTTCTTGCAACTCATTAAATGCAATTTRCAACGTAGTAAGTTAAATACTAGGAGTATACCCGTAAATTCATTACAATATCATTTCTTGATATGCTTACAGTGGCGTATACAAGATTTCTGAAAGAGAGGATAAAAAAAAACGATATTACCTATTAATTTTTTTTATATTAAAATAGGTAATGTTGTTTAAAGAGTTACTCCAATGATGTGTTAAATTTGMATTTAATGATATAAAATCTTTGTATACGAAAAAAAATTCTGTGCGAAGACAGAATATTAGTAATATAATTAATATAATATATATATTAGAKAATATTAGTAATTATTTTCAATAATACAATAATTGTGATTAAAGTTATTTACATTGCTATCGAGCATTAACACTAAAATAGGTTAAATTAATTTTTGGCAAAACTTACAAATTTTAAAATATCATAGTGTGTATAAAATATAATAATGTACCCTATACTTTAAAATTTAAATAGTCTCTTATAGCGCCTAGCTAATTTTCATGATTTTTACGAATTTTGTTAAGATTCTTAATCCAAACGCTTAAAAATATCTTACGGAAAATAGATTATATCTATATAAAGATAGAATTATAGAGTTTTATGATTAGTTTGAAAAACATACTGAACTAAGAGATGAGCCATACATTAAATATTTTTTATTTTAATTGTAACGGGTATATTGTTATACAGAATGTGCAAATAAAATCGAGAAATAACTAAAAAATGGACAATGTAATGCAGTTTAAAACTCTTATGTAAAATCAAGTTCTTTTATTAGGTATTATAGATCATTAATAAATTTGTAATTTAGTCTACACCAATAAGGAGCTCAAATACAATGTTCATTTGTTCATTACCTATCTGCAATTTAATAAAATATCTGCCAGATACGTCATATTCAAGGCGTAGTGGCCGGTGGGTTGATACCAGGTACAATAGTAAAAATGACAATAGAAAATCTCTTAGGCCTCAAAGAATTATATTTTATTGAACTACTTTTTTTTTTTTAATTTGAAAGGAAGATTTTAAAAACCGCATTGAACTCTCATTTAGGTTAGGCTTTTATGTTATATTATGTGATTATAATATTGAAAAACAAAGTTCAAAGATAAGATCCCTATTTGCAGAGTGATTTT